AAAGAAAAGTCCTTCCTAGAGCCCTGGCATTGCTGTGGGCACAGGGCGTGGAAGGAGCCCCCCATCCTTGGCTCTGGTGGCCCAGCTCCATTCAGCTACTTTACCTCTGCTCTGTAGAGCGGGGAGCTGGGCTAGATGCCACTGGAAAGAAAAACAATGATGTTGAAATTAGGTTTTCTCTTGCTCCAGCATTCGGGGTCACCCCGTCTGGCCCCCTGACTCCTAGGGACCCCGTGTTTGCCCCAGCAGGGATGGGCTCGGTGGGACAGGACAGAGCCCCGCGGGCTACCCACAGGCTCCCTGCTCCCCCTCTCCATTCACAGAAAGGAGGCAGCTGGGACTTCCAACGCAGCTGCAAATAAGAAACACTGAGTAGACATAAGAAGTGCAGTTTATTCTCAGACAGGGCTTAACGGCTGCTGACGTTAGGATTTTTTCGAAGTCAGTCTTGAGATTTGGGTGAGAAAATGCGTGGGCGCTGCTGTGAGGGGGCCTCCGCGGAGCACCCATCACCGCCCAGGGAGCGCCATCCGTCGAGGCACGAGGACACCCCCAGTGATGGGCGAGGGGTAATACTTGCACGGTGTCACAACCCGAGCTATGTTTTCCTGCCCTTTAAAAAGACTGGAACAGTCTAGAAGCTCAGACTGGCTCTTGGGCAATTTGCAATTAACTCTGCTATCATATAAACATCCATTCTGAGCTCAGAAATGTCACTGGGCTTTTCCCACCACTTACTTTCCTTTCCCCTCCCCTGCCTAGTAAATGCAGGGCCGGCTATATTTGAGGCCTCGAGTTCAGCAGCTGAGCGGTGCAAGGCGGCTCAGTGACGTCCACAGACACCATTCAGAGCCCCCCCACCCTCTGCAGGGCCTCTCAGCAGCTAGGGGCTACTGGTAAGCCTGGCCCCAGACCACAGAGATAGATTAGGGGGAGAGGGGTCTATGATAAGGGGTCTAAGATTCTGTCATATGGGTCTCTTTGTTCTCCATCTATCCTGCTGTCTGGGTGAGAGCACAGGACTCTGTCTTTGTGGGCAACATCTTACCACAAAATTAGCAACCCTGAGTTCGGGGTCTGTGCGTGAGCAGACATTCCCCAGAGGCACGCATCCTTCTAGAAGGGGTGGTGCGACCCCACCGGGCTCACAGGACAAACACTCAGGGGCAGCTCTGGCCAGAGCAACCTCGGGAGCCCTGCAGAACCCTCTGCCGCCAAGTCCTCAGCCTGAGACTCCTCCTTCAGCAGGCTGGGCCAGCTGCAGGGGCAGAGGGAAGAATTCAACAGGGGTGGGAAGTCTCCTTCATCCCAGATGAGAAGGATGAGGAATGAGACGCGGGTGAGGTCTGTGAGGGGTAGGGACCCTCAAGCATGCCCTGTGGGAGAGAGAAGAGCTGGGATTGAATTTGTTTCATGCACCTGGTAAAAATGCAGGGGCAGGTGATCACCCCCACGGGGAAGACATGGGTCCCTCTGCGTGCACCTGCGTCTCTTCTAGGTTCATCACTATTCCTGCGAGGTCTTCAAAAACTGGGCATACCTGCTTATGGTCTCTGAATACCATTCTCCTACTAAAAGGAAGCAGATCTCTGAGGAGGCACAAGGAAAGGAAGGCACAAAAAGGAAGAACGACTCAGGAATTGTTACACATCATCTACGGTAAAATCCACGAGTTTATAATGATACTTACACACAAGTCACCTCTGGAGCATACTGAAGAACAGAATCATTGTTCTCATAAGTGCTTTTTTAAAATGTATCGTGTGTACTGTACCTTGGGGTATAAATGATGAAGCAAAGTTCTTTAGAGAAAATTTCCACCGAACAAATGTAAAAATGATGACAAAATCTAAACGAAATAATCAATCTGCCTAATGATCATTAAGAGACGCTAAAACCACTGGCTGATGGGGAACTTGAGAATGAAAGCATCAGACCATCAACAAAACCCACAGATCAACCTTCACATCTCACAGAAGAGAAAAGCTAACCTCACACACCCCCCTGACGGGATGCAACAGGAATTCCAGAAACACCCACGAGATGGTCTTGCGAAATCACCGAACCTGAATCTGATCAAGCCCTGCTATCTAGACACGGATTTACAGGAACGAGAGGGATTAAAGAAACCGTTAATTCCACCAACAGCAGGGGTTCTCAACAGCAGTTCTACTGACAACGGGGGGCCAGATAATTCCTCTAGAAGGCTTACAACATCTATCAAAACATGTAACATGTGCACCAGGTTTGGATCCTGATTCAGAAAACCAAAGGTAAGGGGAGAAACGTCACGAGACACGGAAGTGTGAACCCTGGATATTTGATCTTATTAAGAAATTGTTCTAGGGGCGCCTGGGTGGCTCAGTC